GCTGACGTTTCGGGCCTAGACTAGGCCCAAAACGTCAGCCTTCCTGCTCCTCCGATGCTGCTTGGCCTGCTGTGTTCATCCAGCTCTATACCTTGTTATCTCAGATTCTCCAGCATCTGCAGTTCCTACTATCTTGGATACTGTTCCTTTTTGGTTCTGATTATCTTCTCAAAATAAAAAGGGTAGCTATGGTTATATGAGAGTAAACTGGAGATTTTCACTTCCTAATATCAACAATAACCCGGATAAGAATCCTAGATCCCCATGTTACAAAAGAACTTGGACTTCCTCCTCATAACAAGAAACAGGCACCAGGTAACGAGAAGCTGCTCAGTGAAAGTTGAAAGTGCTCAGTGTCGCCCACGCATTCGACACTTTTACCTTGATGATAATCCCCCAGCGTGAGAAATGATTCCTGCTTTTCATTGAAACAGGATCTTGTATTATTTCAGCTTTACAGACAGATTCCTGAGGGCAGGGAATGAAATCATCTGATAATATTTCAAATTGTTAGGTTATTATTTAAAATTATTTTATTTCAAATAATGTTATTGTTTATTTGGTCTATTGCCACTTTAAACGTGCATCAACACAAACTATACAGAGTGGCTTATTTAGCTGTTCCTGGATCTGGGCGACAATAACAAGAGTCAGATTTATTGCTCATCCTTTGTTGCCCTGAGAAGGAGAAGGTGACTGACATCTCTTGAATCGCTGTATTTAAGGGGGTGCCCCAGATAGATGATAAAAGAACAGTACCAAATGACCAGAAAACAAAAGTCTTTAAAAACGTTGATGCTTTTGCCTTCCCAGAGACTAGAAGTTAGGAAGTGGTCTTGAAGTAACCTTGGCAAATTGGTGCACTGCATCTTGTAGATTGTACAGGTAGCAGCTGCAATTAGTTGGTAGTGAAGGAAGTAGCTTTTGAATTGCAAGATACAGCTGCAGGAACACTCATTGATCAAAATGCCTTGCCGTAGATGGTTGTCTTTGCCAAGAGATTTTCTATGTTGTGCTGCATATTTAATTGTTTCTATACCTGCTAGGAACAGAATCTAAAATCATGACAGAAGTTTAACTATTTCTAGCAACAGGTAAAACTATAATTGGAAATGTGGTATTTACTAGTTGTCTAATCATTTGAGTGCAAATTACAATATTACAAGGATTGGTCTGGAGTCTTAGTGATATGTTGGGAATAACTTTGATCTTGGGTCTTGGTGAAAAATGAGTAATATTAAATCAGCTAAATATTATATATTTCTTCTGATTTTCAGTGAAAACAATAATCAGAAGAGAATTTTAATTGGATGGCTGCCCTGATTTGCTCATTTCACATCATCAGGCAAAGTCAATATTGTCCCCCAAATGGGAGCTGGTTTAGCATATTTGTCATTGAAATGATCATATAATGTAAATATAATATAAGCATATTATAAGTATTATTATATACATTGTACTCATTAAAGTGCTCCATCACAATACTTCCATTCTTCTCTTCACATCCCGATGAAATTATAAAATTCAAACTCTGTCACAATGTTGGGAATAGTTATACAATCCATTTTCTAAACAGCAAACAATTTTTGAAAATTGCTCAAAGAAACACATAAAGGAATAAAAGTCAACTTCTAGCATTTACCTGTTCGATTATTAAAAGAAGGCTGATGGTATGACTCCCTCTATAGGCTGGGATTGGAAACAACAGGGACAATTTTCAAATCAAAACTTGGCACTGCACTAGCAGCTGATTGAGGCCACCTTGAAATTGAGTTGCTGCCCTCTTTAACATTTTATGCTTGCTCATTTGAAGAGGGGATTGCTAACAGCAGCCTGAAGTTAGCAGCTGAGGAGAGGCAATTTGGAGGAGGCATTGAGCGGGAAAAATCATGGGGGATGCTCCTGGTATTCTTGAATTCACAGGAGGCATTTAAGAATACTTGATTAAAAAATCTGACCTATATTTGGTGTAGTATAATAGGAAATGAATTGTTAACAATGATGACACCAGAGCCATGTGATCGGGATTTGAAGAGAAGAATGGAAGCATTGTGAGAGAGAACCTTAATCAGTATAATGTATGTTATGATGTTAATAAAGAATTTACAGGACTTA